GCGTAGGCCCCCGCAGTGGTTCTTTCTGTTTTACGTTTTATGTTTACTGTGAGTCCGAACTGACTGCATTGCACCTAACAACAACAACAAGATCAAAGGTGATGCAGCCCCAAAGGGTGTTACATATACCCTATCTCTCCATGTCCTCATCTCTGACTCCATCTCTGGTGTCGCTGCTTCTCTGGATAAGGTCCTGCATTCCGCTCGTGTTCTTCTCCCTTGGTAGTCCTAGGGTCCTCTGTTTCTGGACTGTACGATGAACTACTCCCCCATTTTTGTTTTAAAACTTCTACCTCTACAGTTGTGACAGTTGCAATTAGCCATGATAACAATTTGTTGTTGTTGTTAAGTGCCATCAAGTCGATCCTGACCCATAGCAACCCTGTATAGGGTTTCCGAGGAGCAGCTGGTAAACTTGAACCACGAACCTTGCAGTTCAATGGCTTTGCAGTCTGATGCATTAACCCACAGCGCCACACCAGAACTCCTATGATAACAATTACTCACTATTAAATCATAAGACTCCTATCCCCATCTCTTTTCACCAGACCCTCTAGACAAGATGAAAACTATTCAGTGGAGACTCTATCTTCCCCCCGCCACCACTCTTAAACTAAACTCCTTCTTGAAAACTTGTAAGCCAGTCACTTCGTGCCTTTATCGCCAATGTCTAAGTTGCCTTTCCCTGTTTACCCTGTATACAGAGGGGATAGGACTGATACTTGATGTGAAGATTCCTTCCCTCTCAGTTGGGATTTTCAGCTACTACATCCATCACCAGCCGCTCCTTGGAAACCCTATACAGGGTCGCTATGGGTCGGAACTGACTCGATGGCATTTAACAACACATCCATAAGTACAAGTCAGCTTCATCGAATTGTAGCAATTACACTCGTTTCCTTTATCCAAAAAAATTTTTTTTTTTTTTTATCTTCCACTAGTCGAGTTCTGATCATCAAGCCATCTAGGCTAGGTCAAATGGGTACTGTCTGCGAATTTGACTGTCTTGTGCATCTCCCCTTACTTTACTCTCAGCTCTAGCCATCCATGACTATGCCCTTGCCCATGGGCTTAGGAGTCCCCAGGCCTCACCACATTTCAGACCATCCAGCCCTTCATCTTCTCTCTATCGTCTCCAGGTAAACGGGAGTCTATGGACCATGGCTGAACTCAGCCCATTTCTTCATTGCTGCCTTTCCACCTCTCCCAGTAGACCACCGTGGTCACCAGCAAGCTTTTACATGCCTGCTCATGTGTTCCCTTTGAGTTTCAGTCTTGGAGGGGAGTTTGTCCCAAAGGGACTTGATTGCTTGCCTTGATGGCTCCCCGGCAAACACCTTGCTTGTTCTTGTAGCAGCCAATCTGACTGCCATTTTTGTTTTGTATTTTTCCTGCTGATTTTTCAAGAAGTATCTTCTGTTGCTCTAGCTGTTCCAGGCTGGTCTGCTTGTCCTTTCTAGTGGGGATGTCCCACCTCAGAAGGTTCTGGATGGAGTTCAGGAGTCTACCTAAGGTCCTATACACTACAAAGGTTCTGCAAGAAACCTAGTTCACTGGGCAAGTTATAGAACTCATTTTAGGTATGAAAATCAGCCTATAACTGATTGGAAAACCTTAAACAAGTTCTAGAACTTACCCAGTGAAATATGCTTGCAGAGCTTTCTGTAATCATGTTTCCTAATACTCTTTTCTATCCCACTCAAGTGTCTATTTTACAATAGTAAGCAAAGAACACCAATATTCATAAGACAGTCAAGCATCTTAACATTATTTCCTCTCTTCAGACTATGTCACGATCCCTGTATCACAGAGCCCTGTTGTTCCAGAGTAGAGCATGCATCACTATTTGCTTCTGTCCCATTTATTTAGCCCATGCAAACCTGCCTCAGTGTTCCCCTATCTACCTTGTTCTTCTACCCCCTCCCCTTGCATTGCCCTCCCCAACACCTGAACTATGATGTGTCTAACCCCAACCCTGTGCTCTACCGTCCCCTCCCTCCCACACCCCTCTACCCCTCACCATCACCCCCTCCAGTAACCAACCAAGATTTTTTTTTTTCATTCCTTTTAGTATAGGTATCTTTTCTTAAGCTTTTATAATAATGGTCTTATGCAATATTTGTCCTTTTGTGACTGACTAATTTCACTCAGCATAAGGTCCCCAAGGTAAGGTTCATCCATGTTATGTGGTGGCTTGTAGCTTCCTTGTTATTCTTCAAGATAGAATAATATTCCATTGTGTGTATGTACCAAAGTTTGTTTATCCATTCTTCCAATGATGGCTTAGGCTGTCTCCATCTATTTGCTGTTGTGAATAGTCAGTCATACCATAGCTTCTTGTTGTCTTCAAACAATAGCCATTTGATCCATGCACACATTCCATATAGTACAATTAAGTATTCTGGAATCCTCATTCTTCGTAATGTTAATCCATAATCCGTTATGATCCACACAGTTGAATGCCTTAACATAGTTGATAAAACACAGGGAAACTTCTTTCTGGTATTCTCTGCTTTCAGATAAGATCATCTGACATCAGCAATGATAAACTTGATTCCATGTCCTCTTCTGAATCCAACTTGAACTTCTGGCAGTTCCCTGTCAATGTGTATCTTCAACAAAAGTTTATTAGCATGTGATATTAATGATTGTATGTGAGAATTCCCACAATCTGGTGGATCACTTTGCTTTGGGATGGGCACATATATGGATCTCTTCCAGTTATTTGATCAGATAGCTGTCTTCCAAATTTCTGGGCATAAACAAATGAGCGCTGCTAGAGATGCATTCCTTTGTTGAAACATCTCAGTTGGTTTTCCCTCTATGCTTGGCGAATTGCTTTCCACCAGTGCCTTGAGTGAGGCTTGAACTTCTTCCTTCATTGCCAGTGGCTCTTGATCTGTGCTGCCTCCTGGAATGGTAAAATGTCAACCAATTATTTTTGGTACAGTGATTCTGTATTTATTTTTGCCCGTAGAATTCTTTAATATCACAACTTGAGGTTTTGTATTTTCTCTTCAATTCTTTCAGCTGGAGAAATGCTGAGAGTGTTCTTCCCTTCCGGTTTTCTCACTCCAGGTCTTTACACATTTTGTCATCATACTTCACTTAGTCTTCTCAGGCCGCCTTTGAAATCTTCTGTTCGACTCTTTTACTTTGTCATTTCTTCCATTCACGTTAGCTAATCTGTGCTTAAGAACAACTGTTAGAGTTTCTTCTGACATCCATTTTGGTCTTTTCTTAGTTTCCTAACTTTTTAATCACTTTCTTCATGTATAAGGGCCTTGGTTTCTTCCCACAATTCTTCTGGGCTTTGATCATTAGTGTTTAGTGCATCAATTGTTTTTGAGGTAGTCTCTATATTAAAATGGAATGAATTAAAGATCATACTGTAGCTCTCATGGACTTGATTTTATTTTCTTCAGCTTCAACTTGAACTTGCACATGAGCAATTGATAGTCTGTTCTGCATTCAAGCCCTGGAATTGTCTTGACTGGTAATATTCTACATCTTTGCCATCTCTTTCCACAGATGTAGTCAGTTTGTTTTCTGTGTAATTCATCTAGCAAGATCCAGGTGTATAGTCATTGTATTTGCAGGGGGGCTGGGAGGTGGGGGCAGTATTTTTTAGTCCTGATGAGTAAGTCATTGGTCTTGCACATTTCTATCATGCAATCTCCAAGATTGTTTCTGTCACCAAGGCCATGTTTTCCAACTGCTGATACTTAAATTTTGTTTCCAACTTTTGCATTTTAATTACCAGTAGTTATCAATGCACGTTTGACCAATTTCAGATAGCAGTTCATAAAAGTCTTTCATTTCTTCATCTTTGACATTCATAGTTGGTACATAAATCTGAATAATTGCTGTATTAACTGGTCTTTTATTTAGGCTGTACTCCACTGACACAAACATGAGATGTTCTTTTTTATGATGAATACAACACCGATTCTCGTTCATTTGTCATGCCCAGCATAGTAGACTATGTGATCGGTGGATTCAGGATGGCTACTCTCAGTCCATTTTAGCTTGTTAATTGATATCTTCAAGCGTTGCATTTCATTTTTGATGACTTCCAATTTTCCTTGATTCATACTTTGTATGCTCCAACTGCTTACTATTAATGGATGTTTTCAGTTGATAATTCACATATTGACTCATGCCACATCAGCAAGTGGAAGTCCTGAAGGCCTTCCTCCAGCTTCGGCAGTCTGGTTCCAATCTGAGGACTCGTCATCCAGCACTGCATCAGGCAGCATTCAGTTACATCTGTAGACCTTTCATTGGTTAGTTTTAGGACATAGACTGCCATGCTTTTCTTCCTAGTCTGCCTTAGTCTGCAGGGTCCACTGAAACCCATTTGTAGTCCATGTCCATACACTGTGGTGGCCCTGCTAGTATTTGCAATATTAATGGCATAGTTTTCCATCATCATAGCAACACGCAAGCCACACAGTAAGACAAACTGACTGATGCCTGTTGGAGAAGACTGCCAGACACACAGTATTAAATATTAAATTAAATAATGCATATTAAAATATTAATTAAATAATACATTTTAAATGCATTTATAACAATTCTTTCCTTTTAACCACTATCTTGCAGTATTATATGCTGAGCCAGCTTTTAGTCAATTTTTTTTTCCTTTTTACCGAATGAGTATGCTACAGTAGTCATCAACTATTGATCAGCCAGCAGCAAATCTGGAAAAGGCAGCTTGATTAAGAACCTTGCAACCACTTACTCTTAACCCTCTAATGTAATTCAGAGAGGGCAGAAGGCTTTGGCCTGATGCTCACACGCCATCGTGAACTCACCAAGTCAGTCATTTGTTTATGATTAATTTAGTTCAAGGAAAGGGGGAAAAAAGATGACCTGCAGAAAACTGAAGTGTTGATTTTAGAGAGCCATTGGCTGTCAGAATGAATTGCAGTTAACTTTTACATATAGAAGAGTCTTTATTCTAACCAGTCTCTTGTTGGTATATATTCCCCCTACAGAAACCAGTGATGGTGTGTCTCTACAACTGGGGAACACAAAAGATTTTATTATTTCATTTGATCTCAAGTTCCTGACAAATGGGAGTGTGTCTGTGGTTCTAGAGACCACCGAAAAGAATCAGGTCTTCACTGTCCATTATGTCTCCAACACCCAGCTCATTGCTTTTAAGGACAGAGACATTTACTATGGCATTGGATCCAGAACGGCATGGAGCACAGTTACCAGGGACTTGGTCACTGACCTCAGGAAAGGAGTGGGTCTTTCCAACACAAAAGCAGTCAAGCCAACCAAAATAATGCCCAAGAAGGTGGTTAAGTTAATTGCAAAAGGGAAAGGATTCCTCGACAACATTACCATCTCTACCACAGCACACATGGCCGCATTCTTCGCTGCCAGTGATTGGCTGGTAAGGAACCAGGATGAGAAAGGTGGCTGGCCAATCATGGTGACCCGGAAACTAGGAGAAGGGTTCAAGTCTTTAGAGCCAGGGTGGTACTCTGCAATGGCCCAAGGGCAAGCTATTTCTACACTAGTCAGGGCCTACCTATTAACAAAAGACCACATATTCCTCAATTCAGCTTTAAGGGCAACGACCCCTTACAAGTTTCTATCAGAGCAGCATGGAGTTAAGGCTGTGTTTATGAATAAACATGACTGGTATGAAGAGTACCCAACCACACCTAGCTCTTTTGTTTTAAATGGCTTTATGTATTCTTTGATTGGACTGTATGATTTAAAGGAAACTGCAGGGGAAAAACTCGGGAAAGAAGCAAGGACCCTGTATGAGCGTGGCATGGAGTCCCTGAAAGCCATGCTCCCCTTGTACGACACTGGCTCAGGAACTATCTACGACCTCCGTCACTTCATGCTCGGCATCGCGCCCAACCTGGCTCGCTGGGACTACCACACCACCCACATCAACCAGCTGCAGCTCCTCAGCACCATCGATGAGTCCCCAATCTTCAGAGAATTTGTCAAGAGATGGAAAAGCTACCTGAAAGGCAGCAGGGCAAAGCATAACTAGAGCTCACACCCAAAGCATCGCTCAGCCTGTTCCACACAGATGCTGGGGGCGCTCTCCCAGCACAGCTCCTTCCAAGGTTGGGGCCTGGGTTTTTGTGGATGACAGCAAAGTGACAGGTGACCCTTACAACCAGTCTTCCGAGACAGTTGCATTCCGTGGGTTGGATGTGTAGACATGCAGGGGGCATTAGAGCAGAAAAATGTTCAGTCAGTGGACTGAACACAGGTTTGTGCCCCTTTGCCCTGTCACTCTGTGGCCACACAGTTGTCCCAGTCTCTCCCAGTTGGGGAAAGATAACGGTGCCCCAGCCAGCTGTCTAGCACGTACCTGAACACTTAGTGTGAAGCTCTTATAAAGTGTGACTATTTATGTTTATGCTTGAAAGCAGACTTTTGAAAAATTAATGCGCTGTCATCCAGTAAATTTGTACATGTAGCCTGGGCAACTTGTTTAAAAAGATATTTTCTTTTCTATAGATTAATGTCTTGGGGGCAAAGAGCATTTGTTGCACTCGTTCGATTTGTTCTCTGTGGGGAGTATTTTGAATGTATGGTCTCCTTTGAAATGTGTGAATTAGAAACACACCAGTGTCCAGGCTTCAGTTCTGAAATGAAAGCACAACTGGAAGGAAACCAGGAAATGACAAAAAGCTTTGTCTATTTCATGAAACTTGAGCTACAATCAGCAGAGGTTGGATAATCAAGTCTGTCCTCCCCCGGCCCCTGTCGTGTTAGTTTGTTTTTTGCCATCATCTGGAATTTTGTATTTCGTTTCAGACTACACTTGAGAGTTTTTCCCATTTTGGTATAATGCTCTCTGGGACATTTTCTTTTAAGCCTAAATTCGGGAAGGAATTTAGTAATTTTGATAAAGCTACCACCCGTGCTCTTTCAGGATTTTTTTTTTTTTTTTCTCTCTTTAAAGAAAAACACTAGTAGATGAGATATTACAGCAAGGATCATAGCAGGGTTTTTCCCTCCTTGGCTCGTTCTTGGCGGTTAACCTTCTAAACCATTGGCCCTGCATGGTATTTTCCTTGGAAAGTGTAATTTTAAATGATTCCAGCTACTGGATGGAAGATACACTCCTGCATCTGTCATACATGTAACCAGACTGTTGCGGTTGTCTGTCCTGTTACACCTCACGTGACTAGGTTTGCCAGCCCTCATACCATGGGCAGTATCTGCTAGAGGGCGTCAGATAAACAGATGAGATATTGCTTTAGTGGATGGTAATACAGTAAACCAATATTATCACTTCTACAGATTGGAATCAGGAGACCCCACAATTCCAGAGCACCGAGTCTGACAAACACAATGCAGGTGAACTGTGATCTATCTCAGGTGCACACCAGAATCCAGGTGGATTGCTGGCTTGCACTCTACTCAGCCCTCAAACACGATTGCAAATCAGAAAGGGGGTGGGGGTGGCGCAGGAGGGATAGGAGCAGAGACGAGGCTGTAAATCTGCGCTGAAGACAATGTTAAACTAGCCGTACAAAAATAAGCATAAACTCCCAGAATATGTGGCCACAACTTTTCATTTTCCCCACCCCATAAACAAGTATGGGTTAGATTTTCCCCTAGCTTTTGCCTTTTGTAGTTCTTATATATTAGATGTCTCCGCAAGAGTAGCCCACCCTCTTCCAACTCTGAGCGACCCTGTATGGGGTTTCCGAGGCTGTAAGTCTACAGGAGCAGAAAGCGCCATCTTTCTCCTGCTGAGCAGCTGGTGGGTTTGAACTACTGACTGTGTGGTTAGCAGTCCAGTGCTTATCCTATGGTGCCACCAGCGCTCCTCATGTTGCTGCAGTTATGTGCTGTGGAGTCGGTTTTGACTCCTAGAGGCCCTGTATACCATATCCGAAGCTGTAAATCTTTACGGGAACAGAAAGCTTCTGCTTTCTCGTGGGGGGATGTCTGGAGGGTTTGGACTGGGCACTCGTGGTTAGCAGCCCTGCACGGTGTCACCAGTGGTCCCTTAAGAGGCCCTTATTTGTATAAAATTTCAAGGCTAACGTTCAAAGATAAACTGTCTCTTGGGACCCTTTTCCTACATTGGAATTGTTCTCCATGGTCCAGCCTTCTGCTTTCTATTTGCATACCGGTACTTCAGAATTGGGGGCTCAGTGAGAAGGGTGGGGCTTCTTCTATGACAATTACCAGTGCCTTAACAATGCAGCTGTCCTTGTCCACTGAAGAAGGGAAGAGATGTGGATGTAGAACCGGCATCGCTACTTCACTGTCGTGGCTTTCACACTGCCTCTCACATTGCCGCCGCTGCCGCCGCCGCTTGATTGATTTTCCTCATGATCGGGGAATGTTCTAAGAGGGTGAGTTGGACCTTAGCAGCGTTGTCAGGACACACCAGTGGCTCTCCAGCTGTAGGGAGCTCACAGAAATGCAGGTCCCAGGGAGTCTGTCCGTCAGTCAGTCTGTCTGTGAAGCCCAGCTTTTCTAGGAGCATTGGGCCTCTCTGACGCAGGAGACTGGGGGCTGACTTGGAGGAACAGCTCCCTAGACTATCCCTCTTATTCATTTTTGCTCCTAAACACCTACAGAGCTTTCTTAGGTTTTAAATGGTAAAATGTTTACTTATTCTGAGCTTAGAGAGAATGAGGAGGGTATTTTTAAATGTTTCCCTTTGTCTCGTTTTTTTCCCCCACATTTTTCTTTGTTTCCAGATTAATAGGTTATAGTTTGGGGGAGGGGGTTCTCTTTCACTGATCTTGTGTTCACTTTGATGTGAAATTAAATCCATTGCCGCTTCAGTTGTAAAACCAGCCAAAAGTTTTCCGGATGAAGGTTAAGGCTGACCCATGAGGGGTTGTTCCACATAAACCTTCATCCGAGAACCACCCTGTGCACAGAGAACACATGCAATGTGACACCCAAGCACAACCCTCCAGATGTGGCTGTCCTTTCTCTTAGTCAGTGTGAAAACTGTCACTGAAAGCTGCTATTTTTATCCTCCTTGTAACTGTCTCTCCTCCATTGTACATGTGGGTTAGATACCATGTGTTAAATATGCAATAAAGTGTTTACTGGATGCCCTTCTGAAGGGCGGTCCTTTGTAAAGCTGTACAGACTTTCCAGTTTAAGCACAATGTGCACATGTTAGTTTTATATACAGCAAAACTTGATTTTTTGCAGATGGAAAGGTATTTTGTTTCTATACAAAGTAAATGGATTGTTTGTGCTCCATGTAAAGCTGCTTTATAAAATTGTAAAATAAAGTTTTTATCTTGAAAGGTATATAACTGGGTAGTTCTCTTTCTTCTTGAATTATTGAAGGTTATTTGAGCCCAGCAAGCAGATTCTTACCCTCATTTCCTCTTCAACCTGTGACAGCCAGCCAATGAGACAACAAGTACTGAAGGCCTTTGGGCCCTCTGTGATGAAGTGGGCTTGTGGTGTTGATGTTAAATGCCTTAGAGTCGGTTCTCTCTCATAGCAGCTGCTTGGTTTGAACTGAGAGAGCAGCTGGTTGGTTTGAACTGCCAACCTTGTTGTTATTAGCCCAGTGCTTATCCACTGTACCACACCAGGGGTCAAAGTGGGCCTTATGCCTACGAATTTCTAGTCTACAGAGGGGGGCCCAATGTATACAAAAAAATGTCACAAAAATGAAATGCTAAATCATGTGGTCTTTTGTATATTTACCTCTTTTCCAGACCAGTAATAAACCCAAATCCGCTGCCTTCAAGTTGACATTTCCAAGACTGTAAGTCTTTATGGGAGCAGAAAGCCTTATCTTTCCCCCAAGGAGTAGCTGGTGGGTTTGAACTGCCAACCTTGCAGTTAGTAGTCCAATGTTTATCTTCCCAAATACATGTAAAGCCAGAGAGCAGTCTGGCTTCATGTTATGTTTGATTGCATCTTCTCTGTGGGTTATAAACCTTCTGCAACATTTGCAGAGTGGAACTCCAGTTGACCACAAATCAAGTTCTTCATTAATGAGCACACAGATTTTGACAAGCACGAGTCAACATTCTTGGCAGCGGCCCGTCTCCACTGTCTTAGGTTAGAGAGCAGCTAGAAGGTTGTAGTGAGTCCTGGACAAGATGAGGACTCAGACTGCTCTTGCTTTGGTTTTCCTATTTGTAGCCAAGCAGTACATTTGGTTGTCCTTCATTAACACACCGAACAGCACATATTTGTGCCCCTCTTGTCTTTGAGAGCCTACAGACCTTCCTTACTACTACAAAAAGACAGATTCCGTCATCTGATGAGCCAGCCCCCTTTCCTGAACATGCCCCCTTCACATCCACAGGGCTCTGACAATACACAAAATCAGTGCAATAATGTCTATAGATTGGAACCATGACATCCCACACTTTAAGGGACACCAAGTCTTTGTGCTATGTAACCCTGCCTCCTCCAGCCACCAGTGATTAGACCAGGGAGGCATCTCTCATTCAAACTGGGCCAATCAGTCTCTTCCTCAGGAATCCAAAATTGAGATGCATTTAAAAAAGGAAGACGAAGAAGCAAATGCACAGTAGAAATCAAATCTGAGAGAGAGAATTTTGACAGTTCTCCAGGCCCAGGAGACAATGACCTTTCTGAGGCTGGGATGGACTTGGTATCTGTCTGCTACTTGGAAGCAATGAACTACAATGAAACAATGTCTCAATTATAGAAAAGAACTGTTTAAATTCCACAATTCCGTTCAACCTGGACCACTCTTCCTCCTAAATACATAGAAACGGTCCTAGCTAGAGTTGCATTTAATTTTATAATAATCAGCTAAAGCCAAATATTAGAGATCTTTAGGGAACATTGGCTTTGGTTGTGTGCGGTCAAGTCCATTATGACTCATAGTGACCCTGTATAGGGGGTTCCAAAACGAAATCTTTACAGCAGCAAAAATCCTCCGCTCTCTGCTTTGGAGCCGCTGGTAGATTCAAACTGCTAACCTTGTGGTTAGCTGCCCAACTCGCAACCCACTGTGGTTGGTTGGGCAGGAGTCTAGCTGTGGGTCTCAGGAACCAGGACTCC